TTTTTTCTTTTACCCCTTCCCCCCCCCCCCCCCGATGTTTCAGTAAATGTCTTTATCAGAGCTACTTCATTCTGCTAGCGGTGTTTTCCATTTCGGTTTCTGTAATTCCTCTGTTAGTTGAACACTTGATAAGTTGGCTTTGGTTCCCGGGTTTATAACATACTTTATATCTGGTTCTAATAATGAATTTTTAGTTACAAAAACGAAGAATCCTGAAAGAATAAGGATTGTTAATATCCTATGTGTTTCACTGTTATATGATACAATGCTATGTTACATGGATGTAAACTCACCAGTCGTGCCTGCATGTACCGTAAGGAAGCTCCTGATAAAATAGATCACTTGAACGCATGCAACTTACATATGGAGGATGCGGGTGGTATTTTATTTCTGATGAAGCTGAATATTCTAGTCTTGGAGAAATCCCCTGAACCTATTAGAGTACCACTCTGAAAAAACAAACCCACTGGAAAATCTATTGTTCGCAAAAGTGTTATCTCGTTCTTCGGTACAGTTCGCGTACACATGTGCGCGCAAGGGCAGAATAATTCCCGTGCTGTCGTCTCAAAATAAGCCAAAAGCGTACCGCCACAATAAACGTCAGTTATTTGTCTCAATTCAATCCTGATTCTTTCATCTTACAACTAGTTTTGATTTTGCTATTCCATTGACTTACCATCAAGTCTGTCAATAACGTTACAAGCAGATAAAGCGCTGTAGAATATCTGAAAACTCAATGCAAAAATTCATTTTACCTTCTGAAATACAAATTTCTCATGAATCAATAATGGAAATATTGGCTCCACGAGCCTCGTTCTTCGGCATGAGTTGAAAACATCCACAATAACATATAATTTGTCCCTGTTGGCAAGCCAGGTTCCTGGGGAGTGAACCTGTAAGCAGTTGGTAATTTTTAAAGCTGGGCGTACACAATGAAGTGTCAACTCCGCTTCAAACTTATAAGTCGGCATAGAAACAAACGAAACGGCCGACGGGGAACCGAATAGCGCGCCGTTTTTTATTGTCGTTGTCGGCAGATATATTGAACAATCTAAACAACACGTTTCATAGGCCCTGCAGAGAGCACCAAGCATGAAGTATCATTTCAGTTCTCCAGTATGTTGCAAGAAGAATACCTAAGTAGCACGTTCAATCCTTGTTTCGGATTCCCTGATTCTGTTGGCATTCAAGCTAGCTCAGGGTAAAAACCGGGATTTTGAAAAGGCCTTTGAGAGTGTATTTCGATAAATTTCTATGCCACGCTATTGCCGCAGTTCACAAGGCTGGTCAGTTGCCCGTTTCCAGTCGACCAACGTACTCGGCTGTGCACCCCGAATACATCATTCTTGATGCAAGCTATTGTGCGCTTCCCCTTGGACCGTACAAGCACCACATGGCATCGGAACAAAAACTGGGTTAACAGAGGAGAAATTTTGGTGATCATTATTTGTGGGACACCAAGGAGATCTATAGGGACGCAGACTTTGATGGAAAAATTGATCCATAAACTCTGACATTGATCTGGAGTGAGAAAGCCCATTGTGGTTTGTCGATATCACTAACCGCTCTAATGCGGTTAACGTCATTTAAGCCATTGGTCGCACAAGCAGTATGAGAGCAGATAACGATGACTATCAACTGGCGTGTGCATTTTGAATTACATGCCGCTGATCTAAAAACGAGGATTGTGCGCTTTCCGAATGAACCCCATTAGATTGACAGGATCATTCCCCATAGAATTTTCATGCAGTATAAAATTCCGTCTCCAGTTTTCTTACTTCTATCCCTCTAGGAGACATTTCATCACTTGGACGCAAAAAGCGATATTGCTCAGCAAGTAATGTCCTTAAATGTTTTCAAAAGCTGCATTTTCGGTGGACGAAATGTACACTAACAGTCAAGGTGAAACCACGGCACCCGTGATTTCCTGGGCTAATTCCCTATAAGGTACGACTGAATATTCAGTTTTTTGTACCGTTGAGCTTGTTTTCACAATGAGCGACCAGAAAAGTCACAACATCAGAGTCTCTGAGGGAACGAGGTTCAGCTTAAAAATGCGACACTGAACCACTATAAAAACACTATTCAGCGGTAAAACTTTAACCTCCAAGAAGTAAACTTCACTCACAGAGAAACCTGAGAGATTACTCAAACACCGAACTGCAAACTGCTGGTGTGATTCTCTCGCATGATTCTTGTTGACTAACGCCATGGAAATATCAAACGTGTGCTTTTTTGGTCTGCGACCCAATTTACGTTTATTACGTTGATGTCAGCCGCAATGTCAGCCAGGTTTGAGGAGTTCTTGAGTAAAATGTAAGTAAACTGCGAGAACCCCGTGCGTTATTCTTCAGAAGCAGATAAAAAATACTACGCGCCGTTAATTGTGAGGAATAAGGGATGCTATTGCAAGTATATATAATAATATTTATTCCCAACTAGTGGGTATAATATTTAAACTAGTGGGTAGCATACCGTCGGGCATGATCATAGCATTACAGTCAGAATAAAGGCGTGACTGGTGGGGTTTGTGTTTAGTTTAAAAAGAGTAAACCTTATTGGAGTAGAGTTTATCACACCTGAGGTGGCATGGTTAGGAATCCAAAATTACAAGGTCTCTTTATGTCCTATGGAGAGCATATCAGATGGCACGAGATCTGAACGTTGAGGTTTAAAAGTGGCGGGCAAAGAAAACAATACAAGTGAGGGCATAACAAAGAGCTTCCAGACTGGAACGTGAGAAAAACAAAAAAACTTCAAAGTACAGGAAGTGTAGGGCCGGAATAATGGATATGGAGATGCAGCAGAGCTGCCACGACATGGCAGGCCGGTTTGAACTAAAGTCCGGAACCGTCACTAGGGCTTCATGGCCTTGGGCTATGGCGGATGGCCACGGAAAGGTATGTGGGGGTGGTGTAGTGGGGTAAAAATATATTACGGACAAACGGTAGCAGGAAACGCAGAAGCACAGTGTACAGTGAAGCGACTCACTAGTGTTGCAGATGAAGCAGGGTCGAGTGTAAAAGTTTCTTGGGAAACGAGTTCACGCAAGCTGAGCAATAATTGACTCATTCGGTGAGGAGTACGAATAAAAGCCGTCGAGATCTTTGCATCTGGCAGAAGGTTCGGCAGATTGAAATGAACGCCTTCCGGTGGTGGCCGGGAACAATGAAGGTTGATTGTGGTTGTCGGTATGGGAACCAGTGAGCGAGAGGGCCTGGACAAACTTAAGAGGGGAACAATTGCGGGTATGCTATCAAACCGGGTATTCCAGCGCCGTACCATCACTGCACTGAAGTACTTCGGTTTCTGGACAGCCCCGTGGTGGACGTCGTGAATTAGGTTGTTAGGCTGAGATGTGCAGTCTTGTTGTTGTTTTCCCTTTTATTTTCAGATCGGGGATCCCTTCCTTCGTGATGCACGAATCGGGTGGAGTTGACAACAGCCAAACAGATAGTCCATAGCGCGCATTACCACGGGTCGAAGCTTGGGGAGAAAATGAAATGAGATGAGATCAATAGGGTCTGGAGAGTTATAGGGGTTATCAGACAGGATATAGTCCTTTAATAGGGAAAAAAATGATCGTCTACCACAGTTATGGAAGGACATCAGGTGATTAAACAAGACAGGATAAGGATGAATCTGTACTCAGTAGTGTAGTCATCAGAGTGAAGCTAAGATTGTCAATATAACTATACTACCTGAGACAGGACAGTTTACTGCATGTGGGCTAAGAGGCGGTGTGGTGAGGGTAAACCAAACTCGTAACGACTGGGGGGTGTAAATTCCTGGGGGTTGTTAGTAAGAAGGACAATACTAGGACAATCTAGGAAGGAAGGTGGATGCGAGGGAGAAGGTCCCCAGTCCCCGAAGCACTACTATCAGCCTTAATCAGTGAGTGGTGCGTGACGAAGATTTTTCGATGCTATCCTCGGATGTTGATAGTGGAGAGTCGGGAGTCTAAATGTATGTTTATATGTGTTGTATGTGTCCACTCCTGGGAGCAGCAAATTTGGTTTGTCATTTTTGTTTGGTTGACGAGGTAGGTTTTGGCGCGGTGTAGCCTCGATATTGACGAAGGCAGCTACAGCAACGCACGTCGACGTAGGCCATGGGCATCGCAGAGTTTCTTCTGGCTATCCCAGGTATATTGATTTTTTATTGAATACTTTTGGACAGGCGAAAAGGCCAGTTTTTGTTATTGTTTATGGCATTGCCAAATAGCTCAACCGAGGCGAGGCCAACACCAGCAGTAACAATCAGAAAACAGCAGTGCTCTTTTTTTTATTTCCCGAATTTAAAGGCCAGGCTCAGAACCACCGGCGATGGGCGATGCACCCGTGCTACTGGAGGGGTGGTGGGTATACGAACGCACCATGGTGCAACGTAACAGAGCGACCCTCTCTGCAGGGCGTACCCATCCACCACACGAGGTTTTCATCCCTCGTGCATGCTACCAGATCTGCAAGGTGGAAAACCATCCAAGCAGTCAAAGTGCGGTTTTGTGCATTAATAGACTACTCCAGTTACCAGTTTTTTTTCGGTCGGGGGAAAGCAAGGCCAGTAAAAACAGCTCAATCAATTTGGACAAGCAGACAGCAAACAGTCGCTGGCAGAGGCAAGTCGCGGAGGAGGCAGTGAAATGACAGTTGCCAATGTGACAGTGGGGACGGCAAAGTGATACTCAGTGCGAGTGCACTATGGCTAAACGGCGCCTGAACGTTGGTGTGAGCTACCATGTCTAGCAGAAGCGTACCGCGTAGTTGTGTGTGTTTAGTGAACTGTGGAGCAAATCATCATGTGGATTCGATGTAAATACATCGGTGTACAATGTGCCATAGTAGTGAGGAAAAGCTGACTTTTGTTTCGTTTTTGTCAGTTAGAGTTTAACCGACAGCACCACTCACTAGACAGAGCTGGTAGGGTAATCCGGGGTAGGGATTTGACTAGAACGATGTATAGGTTGGTTGAGAAAGAAAAACAACTAGGCCGGTAACACAACATACTCAGATCAAGTAAGCGTTTAAGTCCTGCAGTGGCTTGAGGTGGGGAAGGTAGGATGACTGGATCTTCTACTTGCCTACTAACATTATCGTCGCTATACTCAAATGTGTACTGGACCTATTTCATATAGGGGGTCGGGGGGTAGTTGGATTTTAAGTAGGACGGCAGCAGTTTCACAAGTAAGGAATTTGTCCAGGGACTGAGAAAAAGTGTGATGATGCGCGATGTTTCGCAGCTGCTCAGGAAGGCTGTTCCAGATGCGAGCGTAGTAAACTAAAAAGAAGTAGTGACGTATGTTTGTACGAGCTGGGGGGGATACTAAAAGGTTGTAGGAGTTACGGAATCGGTAGCGAGGACGTGAGTTAACGTTGGGTCTAGCCTCTGCTATAAAGGCCTTTTTGTGCAGCAGGCGGTGTAGGAGAGTTAGATTTATCTTAAACCGTCTGAGCCATAGTGGCTCGAGGCCAAGGGTTTGGCAGCGAGAGCGGTAAGAAAGAGGGTTTGACCGAGGGAACAGCTTTTTTGTGAATGAGCGTTGGACGTTTTCAAGTGCGAGCCTACAGCTTTGAGTATAAAAGGAGGAGAACATGGGACAGAATTCGACGATTGGCCGTACGCATAGCTTATAAATTGCAACCATTGTGTCTGGAAGGTGAAAGGAGCGCAGGATTAAAAAACTGAGCCTGCGTGCTCGGGCGACCTGAAACTGTACCTGGCAGGAGAAGTTCAAAGTTAAACGTTTGTGTTCGGCCTTGCTTGCTGGATGAAGTGACAAAATATCCTTTAATTGTCTGTATAAGTGGTGTGAATAAAAATGCCCACCAGATATTTTTTACCATCGCAAAATTAATATCCTGTGTTTAAGACAATGCGACAATCCTTCCGGGCGTGCTCTTCTCGCGAAAAACATCCATCTTTTGGTGGGACTGCATTCAAGTGTTTCACAAGCAATCGCATAATTGTTTTT